CTTTGCCGCATTTCTCTCTTTTTGGTCTACTTTTCAACTACCTCTGCTCCATTACTGCGTCACACATGCCAAAATCAGGAGTTTATAGGAGTTAGCAACATCGCCATAGGGTATTTATGGATTGAACAGCAGCAAAAGGTGCGTTATGTCTAGCTGATTCTAGAATTTTCCCGACAGGGGAAGCTTCTAGGCAGATCAGCGGATTTGGTATTTTCCAGAGCGCGAGGAGCAATTTTTGAACAAATTTGGGAAATTTTATAGACTTTTCATTAGACCTCGAGCAAATTGATGTTTTGAGCCAAAAAGATCATTGCGAAAGTATATAAAAGGAGTCTTTATTTTTTAGATTTTGCAAGAAAAATTTGAATTAAATATACGTTGAAGAAATGAAATAGTTGAACAAACCAAATTTGAAATTTATTGAAAACTCCATCCCTACATTGATTTTCTGATAACTGTAATTTTTTCACACTATATCCGCTATTATTGCTTTTTCTGCGACTATCGTTTGGCGCGCAAAAAAGTCTTCCTTAAACTTTTAAACACGGCTTGAGTAACAAAATATTTAGACTAATGAAAACAGGTATATTTGTTTTGAATTTTTGTTGATGAGTTCATTCACTTTTATTTGAAGGTCGGCTGGTGCAAAACGAAATACTACATGAATGGCTCAATGGCCATGACATGACCTCAGTTTGCCTTTTGCCCTCTGTGGCCCTCTCTCGAGTGATTGCTCTCAAATTTCCCCGCTGGCATCGTAGACACTCTTTTAAGAGACCAATTAGCCGCAACTCAATCCATTAATTCTGTCCCAAACTTGGAAATTAAAGCTATCAAGTTGCAAGCTATCAGAGTTTAAAGCTAAAGCTATTCAGGGTTTAAAGCTATCAAGTTGCAAGTCATTAAAAGAGAGCACAGTTTAGTTTTTTAAAGATTTTTTTTGCAAAGCATATCATGATATCAAAAAACAGCTAACAAAAACTCTTTTCGAGATGGCAATTAGAAAACGAGATTAAGAAAACTGAACCCATTTCCAAGTTTTTGAGCATTCTTGTAGTTTTATTTTTATTATTAAATGTGCACAACAAGAATTTAAATGATCTTTTTCTGATAAATTCGATCATCTGAACTAAAAGTGGGGAAGAACTCATCTGAACTTTCTAAGTCCAACCAAAGTTAAATTTCAAATGCTGAGAAAATCATACTTACCATAGGAGAATAGATCAGTAGATGACGATGTCCTTCAGGGCAATTTGGTTATTGAAACCAAGAATTTGAACCTTGATTACGAAAAACAAATACGAAATCTCTTCACTGAACAGCTAGAGTAATCAAAACAAAGTTCCGGAAGTAGAGTTTTAAAAAGATTAGAGAAAATGCCCCAAAAAGCTAGTACTTATTATAAGAAATTTGATTTCTAGACTTTCTGGGACCAGTTTTTACAACAAAAAATGAATTATGCTTCTATTCGCGCGTGGGAGTAAAAAACATAAATGCTCAAATTTTTTCTGGATCGTTAATAAAAACAGAAGTAGCCGCTCATTCCATTAGTCGTATATCACTAAAAAATTATTATTCCTGTGTCATTCAATGCCACGATCAAACAGTTGAACAACTTAAACTGCGCTAAACTCGTCAATTATGTATCGAAAAACGACATTTATGAGGAAAAATGGGTCAATTCTCAAAACCAAAAAATTACGCTTTTCAAGCAATGCCTTAAATTTACAGCCATGCTTTTATTTAAAACCCCAAAAACTGTAACCTATTTTCATGACGGGAAAACCAATTCGTAAACGAAAAACAATTTTTTATCTTCAATCATGTTCTTTCTTCAAATCGATCTTCTAAATACTGTCCTTATCTTGATGGCAGATTCAGGCTTTAAAATTTGGCCTTAGGATAAAAATAGTGTTTTCCTGTTTGAAAAAATTATAATCTTAAAATTATCTGGATTTCAAGAACAATTTATCATTGACACTTAATCGAATTAACCCAATTTGAGAAAGCTGGACCAATAGGAAAACCTTTTTATTCCGCTGCGAAATCTGAAAATTAAAATCCACCTTCAAAACTAGAAGTCCATCTAACTTTTCTTGGAATTTTAAATTTTTTTTGCTCGATATCTGAGTCTGTCTTCCTTTTAACTTCGGAAATCAACTGAACTTAAAAAAATCACAAGTCAAGTCTCAAAAAAAAATCAAAGCAAATCGATTTGTCCAGAATAATTTTAATTTTGAAAAAATGAAGTTAGACAATTGGATGTTTAATTAGCGTCAAACGCTGAGCAGCCGAAAAAATACATTTCATATAAACTTCAAAGATTAAAAGTTTTCATCGTCCCACCTCAAACACGAAAAACGCATTCAGAAACTTTTTTGGTCATCAAACGACGCATTATGAGGCCACTAAGACGAGATATTATAAAAAGACGAAATGATGAAAAATGTAAGCTAAAAAATGGTCCCAGCGTTAACCACGTTTTTTAACGTTAACCACTGATGCATAACAGATTTGAATCATTTTTGCAAAGCGAAGAGCTTAAAAACAGCCATTGACACAGAGGCGATCGGAACCTTGAGATACTTTACTAACATAACATTGCAAGCTAGCGGAATGAAAATGAGATGGAAGCCACTGTCGCAAAATTGATCTATAAAAAAGATCAAAAAATTTACGTCTACAAAAATTTCAGACATTTGCCTCAAATGACGTTCAATGTGACATGAACATTTTGAGGAACCTCGAAAAACACAAACCCTCTTAGAAAAAGCATTCAGAGCTATTTAACGAGCTGGAAATTAGCCGAAAACATTTGAGTGGACTCATGTTAAGCCAGAACAAAAAGTTAGAGCTATTAAATTTTGAAGCAAAAAAACGGTTTTTACCCTTGAAACAACAGGAAACGAGGTGAGTGAGCCAATATAAGATGAGCCAAAAATCTAAGGCGACAAAACAAACGAAAAATATTAGTCCTGGTAAATTAAAAAATATATAGCCAATCAAAGAACGCAAGCAAACAAAAAACACAGACTTTCTTGAAAAAATCTCAACTTTCGAAATTAAAAAAAAATTAAAGCCCTTTAAGCTCCTCGAGTTTCTAAAACAATTTATAATTGGCTCTTTTATGATGACATTGACCTAACTTGAGACTACTGGATCAATAGATAATTTTTTTTCCTCTGGCAACCTAAAAAATAAATTCCACTTTCGAAACTAGAAATCGTTCACATTTTTTTGCGCCATTTCCACGTTCGTATTTGAAAAGTGCTATTTAAGTCAAGTTCAGCAGATGAATTTCAATTGGACTGAAAAAGTGCATATATACCTAAGTGCAATCATAAATGCATCAAAATGTATGAATGCACATCTGTAGTTATTAAAGACTTTTTCCTTAAAAAAATAAAAATCAGCAAGACCTATAAAAGAGTCTTCAGTACATTCATTACTCTTCATTCGTACATTCAATAAATATGAAACTTGCTTAGAACAGAAAACATAGCCAACTGACAATTGGAAAAGAGTCAATGAACGCAATTAAACAGAAAAACTATACCAAATTAATTTGTGAAAAAAACTCTTTCAAATTTCAAAGGAAAAGCTTGAAGCTTTTTAAATTTCGAGAACAGGTTATGATCAGAACTTCTTCGATAAAATTGACCCAATTTGAGAAAACTGGATCAACAGGTTAATTTTTTATTTCGCTGGGAAAACTGGAAATTTAATTCCACTTTTAAAAAAGTCAATCACGTTTTTCGTGCCCTTTACATTTTAGCTGTTTGATAGAGGAGTTTGCCTTCCTGCTAACAAAGGAAATAAACTGAACCTAAGAAATCGGAAGTCAAATCCCGAAAAAATGAATTTGAGCCTGAACAAATTTTTTGACTTTTCCTGAGAAAAAAAATGGAAAAAATATCATCGCGAACTATATAAGAGTCTGAACTACGTTTGACTCTTAAAAATAGCGTATGAAAGTCAATTTTCCTTTTTGATCCATTTCCAACTTGTTTTTTTGATCATTCTAAAAGGAGCTTCAAAAAATCAAACAACCAAAACAAAAGATGAGCGTTTCCAACTTTTAGCGCTGTTTTCCTACGCGACATCGCGTGAAAAAATCAAATTTGCTTTCAGCTATTAACATTTAGTTAAACCAGAAGACCGAAAAGTTATCGACCGAATTTTTTAAACCAGAAGACTTAAAAGTTATCGACAGAATTTTTTAAACCAGAAGACTGAAAACTTAGCATCAAATTTAATGTTCTATCGACAGAACAAGCTCGCAGTTCGCGCATCTTTTTCGCGAGAGAAATAAACTAAAAGTTGTATGATAATTGTAAAATGTAGAAAATTATTTTTTCCTCAAAAAAAATGATTTTCACTAACTTAGCAGATGACCAGGCTATTCACAATACTGCACCAGCAATTTCGATTATGATTTTTAAGCCACAACTGAGGGAGCATTAATTTGTTACCACTATCAACTCCCTATGCTTTTGCTTTGGAGCAATTTCGGACCAAGTTTGCATCCCCCAAAAGCAGAGTTCGAATTTTCAGCCAATCAGAATAGAGCATTAGACACGCAGCGCTGTGTAACACTCTCCTTAAATTGAATAGTGGGGTGGATGATCTTAACTTGGTCTATTTCGGGGAAGGGGGAGGATGTTAACTTGATCCGTTATTTATTTCGAAAATGAATTAGCATTAAAGCATATTTCCTTCTCAGGATCAACCGCAAAATCCCCCACCCCCCCCCCCCCCCCCCCCCAAAAAAAAAAATCAATTTAAGGGGTAGAAAATATGGATTTTTCATAAACTAACTTTGATTATCGCCTAGATTCGTTCAATCTAACCGTATTACTAAAGAAAATTGAATTAAAACATCAATTCATTTAATTAACAGCATACAAATGCAGTCGCGCATAAAAATGTAGAATAACCGATTTCCGCGAAAATGCATATTTTATACAGCATTTTTTTTTTTCAAATTATTACAGGCTTGGGGAAGGCATTCTACGTTAGGTCACTTAGGGGGGAGATTGTACGGTGATCCCCATCTCGTGCAGTGGCTGGCCGCTACAAAGTGACTTAAACCTTATTCTCCTACCAACCTCAAGAGTAGGTCATTTTTCTTTTTTAAGACTAAACAAATACTTAACTCTTTATAAAATTAGACACCAAAAAACTGAGCAGAATTGAATTTCTAGTCTTTTTGTCAATATTCGCAGAATTTTTCAGGCATTTTTCCATGTTTTCTATTACTTTTTCATCTGGGATAAGTTGTTGGATAAATTCCTGGTCGTTTGCGTCTTTTTCTTGTTGATAAACACGTAAATGCTTTTTGCGAACCAAAAGAGTTATGCTGGAAATAACTTGCGGAACAAGCAAACAAGTCCATGTTTCTTGTTTAAACACAACTTTAAACCCCTCAGGCGTTTCTTGTCGCAGGAAGTTTTCCAATCCAATTTGGAACTGAGCCAGAGAAGGCCAGCCAAATTGCAACACAATAAGTGCGAGAGAGAGATAGTAATCTGGATTTGGATCGAAAGTTGCTTTGATGCCATTACACACTATCTGTTCGTGCAGAAAGTGAGCTAAAATAGCAACTGCGAATTTGGGAACGTCACATGAATCCAGAAGCAGACAAGCGCTTCCAGAAACAGGAAACGCGGAGTCATTTGTATCAATTACAACAGCTTTTGACTTCGACCATAGTGTCCAAAATTGAGTTATTGCAGCGGCGTAGTTTGTGTCACGGTTTGATTGGTCAGATCTATCGTACGCTCTGCAAAGTCTTTCAATGTGGCGTGAAGGCGCGCTCTGAAATAAAAACATGACAATTGTAAATGGTCGGCTTAGTTGCCATAAATCATAGCTTTCGGATTATTGAATAGGTCAACATGACATATAAAATGTGGTATTTATAAATATCCAGTCAAAGTTAATGGATTTGGCAAAAGAAGAAAGCGATCAAAAATATAACCAACAGACAATTGGAAAAGTGAAAAAAAACAAGGAAACCTGCAAAAAATTGGTTGATTTTTTTAAAAACATTTTAAATTTCGAAAATGATATATCACGTTGAAGCTCTATGAATTTAAAATACTGGCTATGATTAGCTCTTTTTTCGTTAAATTATTCCATTTGGAACAACTGGATTATTAAATACTTTTTCGTGACCTTTTCACGTTTGCAGTTCGATAGCAGAGTTTAGCTTAATTTAAGAGAAGAAATGAAGTGAACATAATTAAAATCATAAGCCTGAATTTTGATTTTTTAAAAAAAAACTAAATTTCGAAAAAATACATAATAAAACTGAATTGCAAATATTTTTTTATTTTTGACTCTTTTCCCATAAAACTAAATCAATAAGGAAGCAGGGTCAAAGATATCTTTTGTTATTTTCTGCTGAGAAATCTAAGAATTGAAATCCCTTTTCTTAACTCAAAGTCATTCATGTTTTTTTTCACACCATTTGCTTTTTTGTTATTAGAGAGCGTAACTTGCTTTTTTTGGCAATTGAATTTTAAAGCAAAAAATAACGAAACACCAAAGTTGCGCGTGCTCAAATTTTAATATTTTCCTATAAAAACCACGCGAGCTCAATAAACTGACTTCACTTCGCTCATTAACACCTAAAAATAGATACTGAGCAATAGTGCCTTTCCACTTCGTGAATTATTCTGAGCACTGAGAGACATTTAACACCACTTTTTCTCGTCTTCAAAATTCGAAAAATCGTTTTCAAAATTTGCGATTAAGCGTTTTAATCTGACGCACGGCTAAATGAACAAATATATTAGCAGCGGAATGGACCCAAAGCGGACCCTTTGGGTGGCAAGGGAAAAAGATATTTTCACTACCGAAGGAGTCAGCATTTGGAACTATGTTACAACATCCAATTTTGACCGACCAATCCTAACAAAAACTAAGCGGGCTCTGTAACATTCCAAAAAGTGCTTAAAACTCATTTTTGGGATGATTGTCTTCAGAAGATAGCCAGCAGATGGCTGGAAAAGTAACAGAATAAAAAAACCGATGAAAAAAGTGCACGTAAATTTTGAACTTGTTTCAACTTTCGAAGCAAAATTATATCACGTTACAGCTTTCAATTTCAGAAATAATGTATGATCTTGAACAAGGCACACTTTTCACAATTGTTCAAGGCACACTTTTCTTGAACAATTCCTTTCAGAGCGGTAATCCCCTCGCGACATCGATTTTTATTCCGCTTGAATTTCTATTTCTGAAGCCATTCAACTTTTCGTGACCACAGAAAAATTTAAATTTGAGCCTAAAAAACTATTAGCTTTCTCCGGAAAACGAACGAACAGCCAACAGACAATAGGAAAAGAGTCAATGAACGGAGGAAAACAACAAAAATTGACTTTCGAATTTTGAAGAAATTATACGCCACTAAAGCTCTTCTTACATCAAGAACAATGATTGGCACTTTTTATGATAAAATTACCCCAATTTGACAAAAGTGTATCAACAGGTAAAGCTTGTATTCCGCTGGCAAACCGGAAAATTAAAGCCAAGTTTTGAAACTAAAAGTTATCACTTTGTTGTTTGATAGTGGAGTTTGCGTTCATTTAACAAACAAAGGAAGTGAGCTCAAAAATAAAGCATAAGTCAAACTTGAGCGTGAACAATTTTCGGATCAAACGTACAATCCCGCAACCCCAAATCGATTTAGCGGGAATGAAATAACGGTTTTTCAGAAATACACTTCTAGGGCAAAGTAATTTGATCTAATTAGTCAAAAAATCAATCGATACCAAATTTGGATTAATATTTTACGCTATTAAGTGGATAACTTAGCTACTCGGATAAATAGCTAGCCAAATAAAATAGCTACCCGGATAAAATAGCTACACTATTAACTGGATAAATTATTTAAAAAATTCTCCGGCAATACATTCCGCGCGCTTGCTTGAAATGAATACTTTATCCCAAATTTTAGACTAATCCTGAAAAAAATCATCACGACCCCAATTTTTTTATACTTAAAAATTACCTACGGTACAAATTATCGGCTAGCTAGGGTCTTTCAGGGTGTTTGAGAGAGATTTTGAAAAACTCCTTCCTGACAAAATGCAAACCAACCATTTTAATTCCTTCTAAAATTTTGTCTTCTGTATTCACAAAGTTCGCCAAAACGCCCATGAACTTCTGCACTGGCTCCGTTTGATCCAAATCTAACTCCTTCAAAACATCCACAGCCATTTTGAGAGACATTTTGAACTGATAAACATCATCTAACACAAATTCCGCAACGTCCTCAAGAAACCGCAAACATTGATCAACTGCAATCCTCGCTTCTGATTGGACGAGAGACGAATTGAATTGTGACGTCACTTTATCACTCACGTGAAGGTTTTCATTGATAAAACTGACGCCATCGTTTTCGCTATTTGCATTTTCGGCAGAGTTAGCAGTCTGCGTTTTGAACAGTTCCGTGTCAAATGGCAGTTTGACAAGTGTGATTTCAGGGAAAATGTCGCTCAAAATGTCCCACAAAGCGGAGAAATAACAGATGAAAGTTGAAATGAACAGAGATGCGCGTTCTGAAGACCACACGCGCAAGTTGGCTCGAAACACCATCCAGAGGTCAAGTAATGTAACAGTCGCTGGTGTATTGGTGATGGGAACAAACACGATTGATTTCTCATCTTCCACCATATTGAAAGCCTATAATTAATATAATATTTCAAACTCAATGCCTACGCTCAAATTATGACACGGCGAGAATTGCCAAAAAATTATAAAGAAACAAAAACATTTTAGGAGATTACACAGAAAACATTGCTCTCTCCATACATAATAAAGCAATTAAATCTTACGCAATTTTGAGAAGCTTGAAACGAAATGCATGCAAGATTGAAGGTGCTTCAAAAATTTAAAATCGCAAAATGAAGTTACTTAACGGAATCGAACTACAAACCCTAAACAGAGGCAAAGCGGAGCTTCGATCACTTGCGATACAACAGAAAAAAAAACATGAAAAGTAAAAAAAAAATGAAAAATTTTGAAAAAGACTAGGTCTAACAAAACCTAATTTTCGTATGTCTCGATAGAAGTTCATTCTAGGCAAACATGCCTATACTCGATTATCAAATTAGCAACAAAAAAAACTTAACGAACAGGAAAAAAGCCGACAATCTTTGAGCACACTCAAGTGGAGTCGAAAAAAAAAGATTTTATAAAAATTTTTCAAATCCCCTAGAAACCACAATAAACAACACTTGTACATGCAAAAGGAATAAAAGTTGCTTCCAGAACAAGCAAAGCCCGTCGAGTGGCAACGAAGCCGACGATCTTTGAGCAGACACCAGTTGAGCCGAAAAAAAATTCAATTCAAGCCCCCCCCCCCCCCCCCCCCGAAACTCTGAGCAACAATCGCACTAACATCAATTAAAGTTTCTAAAAGCACAAGCCAAATCCATGATTTGGCAAGAAAGCCGAGAAAACTTGAGCAGACAAATCCGAAAATTTAATTTTTACCGGAAAAAAAACATTCAATTGCATACATACTAAAAAAACAAGGTCCGGCGTAACCTCTTAGCCAAGTAGGAACGAACTGGAAATTCTTAGGCCTCAATAAACAAGCAAGTAAGCAAAGCAAGTAAGACTTTTTACGAAAAGTCGTTTAAGTGGAAAAATCTAGTTCTCGATTACAAGACACTTGCTTTCACAAGTTTTAAGAGCTATTGATTGGGCTCAAAGCTTAAATATTGATTGCGTTTGATGTTCAGTTTTTTCAAGCATTATATAATAATTTGAAATTCGGAAAATTTCGAGGACCTTATTGTTCCGACCACTGAAAACGGGAAATAACTTTGTATTAAGGTGTGTTTAAATTTATTTTCCTTCAATCTTTTTCCACGCAAAACCAGGAACCGGAAATGATCATTGGAATGGCTCGAGTGATGATATATCATATTTAAGCCTTTTTAGTCGGACTGGTTCAAACTCTGTTAAGAACAACATTCAAAAATTGCGAAAAAACATCAAGTTTCGAGAAAAACCGGTGTGAAGTTTTCAAGTTTTAGTCTAATTTCAAGCGGGTAAAGTAACTTAAGAAAAATGGTCATTCAGGCAAAAAAATTGGATTTTACTAAACGGAAATTAGTTTTGAAGCTTGAGTTAGCGCTTTCTCGGCAAAAAAAAACTATCTCGTTTTTTATAAATGTGGTCGGAACAATCAGTGCTTCTTGCATAGCAGCTGGCTATCCTTGTTAGTTTTTGGATTCGGAAACAATTCAACTGCAAATTTGAAATTAAAACAGCAAATTTAAAATAAAAAATTTCCGGTAGACGAGAAAGTTGTATGTAAGCGCTATAGATAATCAGGAGAATAAGTAAAACAAAATTTCAGCCACGCAATTCAAAGCCAAAAAATTAAGATACTACTAACTCCGTACTTACGCTGAAAATTCAATTGAAAAAATCTTCGTATAAAACGCCAAATATCTGAAACAAAACAAAACCTGCTCTATGACAGCCCAGTCATTCACTTTTGGACTGAAGTTGTTCAGCGTGAGTTTGTGGGATGAAGATGACGTCACTTGATGAACATACGCCGTTTGAAGAGTGAGTTTGAGCCAGTCCAGATAAGACACGGCCTCCGAGCAGTCGCCTTGCAGAAGACCAGCATAGACGAAGGAAGCAAACATCTCCCTAATCCAAATAAACTATAGTTAGACAGGCTACCGGCCTTAGATAATTCTTCTGAGATTCGCAGGAAAAAGATTATCACCATTTTTTAACACATCATTTTCCAAATCGAAAGAGTGACATCAACGAAATTTGATTCAACCCGGCTTACGAGGCAAAACAAAACCCACTAGAATACTATTCTAACATGGCTTTCTTTTCCTAGCATGGTAATATTAGACAACATTAGGGACACAATAACATACAAAATGCAACTAACATACGCAGTTCAACACATATTCGATTGGCCCGAAAATCAAATCATTACGCGTAATTTGTCCACTTGTTTAGGATTGCCAGTCACATTTGTCATATGTAACAACACCTAAGATCAGGGCAACCTATTTAAGCGGGGCGAATTATCTTGCTTTTATAATCATTCCGATGAATTCAGGCAAGCTAATTGGCCCTACTTAGGGCGACTACTCCCACCCTTTACTTTGCCGAAACATCGCCCTTTCCGAATCATTTCAGCCCCTATACCGTTCTTTCAAAACTTGATTTTATATCAATTTTTTTTCTCAACAGAAACAACAAATTTCGGGTTCGATGCATGTCACACTAAAACATGCGTTGATTCTTTGCCAAATGATTGATGGATTTGCTAAAAATTCTCTCAAATAATAGTAGTTGAAAGGTAGGTATTTTTGCCATCAAAATGTTGTGTTTCCCCGAAAAGGCAATCTCGCTCTTCTGTGCTTATTCTTTGCTCTCCTGTTCATTTTGCTCAGAAATCTATGATTCTCATCACAAAATCTAAGCTCGCTCATTTGAAATTTTAAAAATTCCTTTGATTCCTCTCCCTTGCCCTTTTGGTTGCCTCAAAGATCAGATTACCAAATGATGGTTTGGAATGTCATCGCTCAAAGGGAATTACTTAACAAGGATATCCGATTGCTGTGCAAGTAGCACAAAATGTTCCGACCATATTCATAAAAACACAAAAAATTTCTTTGTTTTTCTTCCAATTAATGTCATTTTCAGAGCATGGTGTGATAAGAGACCTATACCAACGCGTATAAAGTTAGTGAATGAGGCATAATCAAGAACATTGGTCTTCAAAAAAATGAATGACAAACAAAAAATGAAAAAAAAATCTAACCTTTTTTCACAATAATTTTTAATTTTGGAAAATTTTTATCGCCAAGAAAATGCTAAATGAAATTTCCAAAACTAGATTTAATCTTAGTAAAAATAAATTTTCTTAGTCTAAAAGACTTGAGTTAAATTATCAAGTAACGAAAACTTCTAGATTGATTTACTCGCTCGAAATTGAACTAACACTCGAAAATTGGAAACCAGGTTTCCTCGACACCGTAACACATTTTTAAAATATGATATATCACTTGACCCATTCCGATAATCATTTGTGGGAAGCAAAAAAAGAAAAAACTCATCCAAAGAAAAAACACATCCTAATACAAAGTTCCTACCCATTTTCAATAGTCGGAACACTAACATAGAAAAAGCCAAGCCTACATTTTCGATATGAATGAATAGATTCAGAAGTATCCAGAAAGTTTTTAACTAAGATCGTAGTTATTTTCAAGCTACAGATTACGAAACTTCAGCAAGTATCATGGAAAACAAGTATTTTTGAGATGTTTGTAATGCTGCTTTGCGATAGAGTTCCGGTTTTCATAGAAGGGACGGATGAGAAAACTTGAGGCGTGATGTTTTTGTTAAAATTATACATAATTTAATGGGTCGGGCGTGAGGAAAACTTCGGTGTTCACCTGACTTCTGACAGCGGTGATTGTTGTCTCAGTGCGACTACCCTTTCAGCCAAGGATACAAAAATCTCCAAAGAGTAGATTCTCATCCTCTCCACAAATCCCATGTCATTCACTAGCCTTCTTGCGTAACTCTCCTCGCTTTCCCCTTCCACGTGCAGTGCAGTGTTCCCACACATGAACAGCTTCACCAGTTTTACCTGATGACGCTGACTCAAGTTCGCCATCAAAGTCAGCATCTCCAAGCTCTCGTCAAATCTTTCACCCTTAAGGAAGTCTTGCAGGGATGAGAGAACTCGTTCGCCGCCAGACGAGACGTCTAACATTTTGGAAATCAATCTTGAAGCCTCATCAATTTTTCCTGAGCAAAAAAAATTGTACAAGTGAAAGTAGTTGTTCCGACTAACCCCGGGGTTTGGAAGGAACAATGGCTGAAACAGCTTTTTTTTTCACTCAAAATTAGGGTTCTCGAAGCATGATCGTAGAACATTGAAATTCGTATCGCATTTCAATACTTTTAGTCGTAATTCTGATTTCACAAAAATTTGTTCTGATATTTTTTGCTTATCAGAAGTCAATTTAGGTTGAACTATTTATAATTTCTACAATATAGCAAAGTAATAGTTCATGACTCAGTAAAAACATACTCAATACTTCGGAATAATCAAGTCCCTTTAAAAAATTAAAGGAGAAAATCTTCTTGTTTCATTTGAAATTTTTTGGCAAAGGTTTGAGTGATGGTATTATTCTGTGCAACTTGAACAGTAATTGTCTACCTGTTAAAAACATGTAATTCTACGGTTCAAACTGCACCAAAGATTTTTTAAAATTATGCAAACACGACACAACGTACCAGATTGCAACAAGGATGAAAAATTGCTACCATCTAATTCTGACTTTGTTTTCGACTGTCTTTCGTCAGTAGACTTGCTTTTAATTAATCTACTAGGCATTTTTTCTGAAAAATGTGCACTCCTCTTTAAATGTGTACTCAAATTGTGATACTAAGCAGTGCACGGAAAAATACGCATAGTAAGCAAATTTTCAAGCAAGATTTCTCGAGAATGATTGAACTCAAATTGAGATAGTAGTTATTGTTCCACCCATTACAGAGGTGTGAATGAAAAAGCCCAGGGCTATTTATTTTATTACAAATTGAGCTACCACAAAAAAGGACAGAGCGGATGGAGTGATATCACTTAAAAACCTTTCAGTTTCGAGAAAAACTGGATTTTTTACAACCCAGACTAAAAGTTTAGTAAAGAGCGGAATGAATTCGAATTTCATTTGGTGTTTGAAAGCGAGCTGACTTTATTCTGTTTTCACCGCATAATTAATTCCTTGTACATTTCTAAAGCATATAACAGCATTGATAAAAATCATCCGGACAAAACGAACAAATTTGAAAAATTAAGACTGTTTTTTTTTTCAAATTTGCGTACATTAGACGCGAAGTTATCAGAACAAAACTTGCTTACAATTCTACCAATTACAATGATACCATTTTTTTCTAGAACTCTGGCCCTTAAAAATGAGTCTTCAGAAATGTTATTTAAAAATGGGTTTTCAGAAAGGTTTCCTTAAAAATGGGTCATTGGGGCTCCTCCTCAATAAAAAAGAGAGCTAATTATATCAGGTAAAATGATGAGCAGATAATATCAGAGTGAGCATCGTATGTTGCTTAACAAACTTTAAGAAGGGCATAATCTGTTAATTTTTGTACAAATGCATATATTCTTGTTTGATAGCCTACTAATGTCATTTAAAAAAAAAAAACACTTTTTTTTAAAATTTTAAACAACTTTAAAACTTTTTGCGCTAATTTTTGGAGATTATGCTTTGGTTAAACTTTGTTGGGCTTCAAAGGAGGCTCACTTTGAAATGACTTACAAAGCAATTGACCCGTATTTTAAATGTAAATTTTGATGGACTATATGGAACCATAAATTTAGGAGAGTTTCCAATTTTCTTCGTTTTGTCCGTTTAATTTAAATGAGCACTACATTATCTGCGGGTTATCGGTTCAGAAAAACAACACATACAAAAACTCCTACAACTTTAGATGCGTGTATCCAGGTTTCAGGGTGTTACGCACTATTGAATTTATCAATAAATTTTTGCGGAGCCGGCAACTGGCCCGACTTAGAAGCACGGTGATATTATTGCTCCGACTTTCGAAGAGAGTGAAGAAGATATATGCTTGAGGTGGTTTTTTTCTCACAACAATTTCTGCAAAAGCTGACTGCGTATGGGTATCGATCATGAGGCCCTCGTATTGTCTAAATGCGATCGGATGCGCTCGATTAATAGTTTCAACACGTGAACTATCCCGCACTTATAATCGTTCCAAATTCAATTGAGGCTCAACTATAATTGATCATTTTAATTCGACTTGAAGTTTTAGCATTTTATATTTGATATTGGCAGTCCAAATTTGTAATTCATCAAATGCTAATTAAACAAAAAATATTCGGGCCAGTCGGAACATTCAGGGCTTTGCCCTGATATACGAGCAGTCTTGTATTACTTTTACCAGGCATTTGTCGAGAAGCAGCGGATAACCAAATAAAAACTTTCGAGACGCGTCTTACTTATGTTAATAAAATTACAATTTGACGATTTGCGGCAACCCAGTTGAGCCATTTTTAATTATAGCGACGATCCCCTTAAGTTTTTCAATGCCTTGGTCAGAATATTCCAAATTTTTTTGGAGTAATTCTGATTTATAATGTTGCTTCCGATTGCTGATTAGAAAAGCTGCCACTGTTCAGATCGATACAGAAAATTAAGTTGATGATTACAGGATTGTATGTGAACAAAAAACCTACGCTCAACAACTGGCATTAGCCTGCTCGGTATTTTCTACTTTTATTTCGTTTTCGCAAAATTTAACTAAAGATGCGGGTGATCTGAGATGTTTTTTTTTTCAGCTTAGAAGCACGGAAGGCCAATTCTCAAACTATTCACGAGAAATTGAACAAAAAATATCAGATTATTCTAGCTGATATGACAAAAAAAAATTAATAAAAATCTGAATTCTACAATAGATATCAGATATATTTCAAACGCATCAAAATATCGCTCTATAATTAGAAAATATCTATAGAAAACAAGACACAATTATCTAGAAAAAACCTTTAGTTGTAAAGGTATCAATTACCCCAGAGGTAAAAATAACTAATCTACCTTTTGAAAGTATACAGCAACAACACATTCTTGACTATATTTCAAGAAACGCTGAGCGCTTGGAAATTTTTACATAAAATGAGACAAGAACATTACCTGCAAATAAGAAATTATAAATTTAATAGCATTCGAAATTAAATATTTCAAGACACAAAAGATGGAGTAATTCAGGCTTCAGGGTTGACCGTGTTTTTACTGCCTTTTAGCTCCAGATCTATTTCGAATCTGTTGAGCTGCGCCATAAAGCCGTCATTTGGAAGCACGAATCGTTTACTCCGTATGTATTCATAGGCAGTTGCTTTCGTCACCTTGTCTTTCCACATGAGGTAAGCAATACAAGATGTTGGAGCACGTGATATTCCTGCGTTGCAGTGCACATACGCAGCTCCTTCAGATGTCCTTGCTTCCTCGATGAAATCGATAATGTTCTGAAAATGCTGCTGAATGTCTTTTTCCGGCATGTCGAATATTTTAATCTGCAAATAGGTGAAGTCGTCGGGAAATGAGTTCGGGCAGTAAGTGGCAAGATTCAAAACATGTGTGATTCCTATTTCTTTTAGTTTCTCCAGATTTCTCGATAAATCCTCTGATCCGACAAACAAGTAGGGCTTCAGCTTAGCATAGCTTCCGTCATATTTGTCATTCACAACATAGAAATCATCTGCCCCGGTTATAGGTCGGTTGTCTGTTGCTACCACGCCATCAGGCCCGATAGACTCATAATGCCTCTGGCCTAAATTATTCGTGCATTGAATTGTGGTAGGTTTCAACACCGATCGTGCATGTGCTAACAATTCGTTAGCAGGCAGTATAGGCATTGAGGCAGTCTGAAAACTATGTGTAATTTGAGAAAACTAGAAGCGACTGTTTTGAACTGAGACAATTCTTCAACTATCAACTGATCACATCAAACGTTCGCTCATGATATTTGTCTTCGTTGCACATCACTATATATAGATTGGCGTATAACGAAGCTTACGCTTCAGTTTAAATATAGTAGCAGCTCCGCGAATACTTTTAACTGCATGGTAGCTCACTGCCATATATAGAATAACAAACACTACGTTTCATTTTGAAAGTCATTTTTCATCGAAATGACGCAATTCTTTTAGCTGCAACGCATATTCACTTTTTAAAAGCAAATGTTGTATTAATCCATTGCATAATAAAAAAAACGAAAAAAATGTTTTTTCGTGGAGTTACGGTCCGCGCACATCCTGAATATGACTATACCACCGTTTCATAAATGCATCCAAACACATTTATAATGAATAAATCAAGTCCTGAGAAAATGCAGTCATCAAATGCATACATCATTTGAGCTAATGATGGCCTTTAAAGAATTATAAACAAAATTAAATTTTTTTGGTGTTTCTCTCTTAGTTTTTCAGCAAGTCTCTATAAAATTTTCATGGATGCTGATGCTTCAACGCTGGTGCATGCAAAGATAAGCGGGTTGCAGCTATTGCTCGACTTCTAACTTTCCTTGTTTGTGTTTGGAGTTTTTATAGACTCCTGGTACTTGTATGCCTCTTTGAAAATCAGTCGAGAAGCTTTTGCGAGTATCGAGTCCTATGTCTTTGGTGTCTAGTTAATCCTCATCACGAGTGGTAGTTTAACTGACAAAAAAATGACGAACTGACGTTGAATTCTTTTTGATTATTCATTAAGGTTATTCATTAAGTTCCATTCACTAAGGAAGAGGCGAGGCGTTACAATATGGATCCTACAGAGGCATCCGATTGCTGGAACACACATTTACAATTTTCGAAGTTTTAGAATACCGTCTGATACAATTGACAAAAACAGAAGGCATGAAATTTGGCTTTATGGGTGGTAGATCAAATACCGATGCATTTTTCTCTTTCGACAATTGAAAAAGCTATTTGCCGAAAATAAAGTACCCTGCATCGCATATTTGTTGATCTCGAAAAAGCCTCCGACCGGCTGATTCTTCCAAGCATGCTTTTATGTTTCTGGACCAATTCAAATCAACTCAACCTGTCCCTACTAAACTTTTTTGGGGACGCAAACAGGTCGAGAGCGATGTTTTAATTAGTGAGACTTTCAATCAATATTTCGCTTCTGTTTATCAAGTATCTGAAAATAGTCCTTCTGCTGGTGGTAGTTTGGCTGATTCGGAAATAAAACTTTCAAACCGTTTTCAAACAAGTACTCAACGTCTCAAGCTTTCAAACCGTTTTCAAACAAGTACTCAACTTTCTGCTTTCTAACAACATTGATTTACTGTTTATCACCGAAACTTGGCTCTATGATGAGATAGAGAATCACGAAATCTTCCCTGCTTCTGGCTATCACGTCCTCATGCGAATTGACAGAACTTCAGGAGCACATGGAGGAGTGCTTATTGCTGTCCGTGTGAGCCTGGAACTCAGTATTTTATCATCCTTTTCTTACTCTGATTTTTGCTGTACTATCATTATTGATTTCCATAAAGCATTTTATAGTTTCTTATTGATTTACAATCCACCTCAAACTTCATTATACAGAGTTGATTCTTCTGTGCTTGTTGAGGCTATGTTTAACCACCGTGATGAGGTTGTAAAATGTCTCGGTCTCAAAGTTGCGAAAGACCGAGTTGTTACCGCAGTTCTCGGTGACATCAACCTTCCTGATGTCTGCTGGAGCTCACACACTGCTACTTCTGATTATTCAAACAAATTTTTGACAGCACTAGAGGATCTTGACTTGCTTCAAATTGTTGATTTCAGCACCATAGTTTCGGGCAATATCCTTGACTTGCTCTGCGTTTCAGATCCTCATCGATTCATAGTTTTTCGAGGTGCCACTGCTTTTTCTGATCATTTTCCTGTTTTTGCGCATGTTGTTGCTGCAAGTTCAACTTCACATTTTACTACAAAGCGATCTGTCACTTACTCAAAAAATAGTCTTAATTCAGAAAGTTTCAGTCGGGCTATATCGCCCTTATACTCTATCTTGCATTCTAACTGTCATAATGAGTTCATTGACAAGTTCAACGAAATGGTTTGTCAAGCACTTGATTCTTCATGTCGTAAAATTACGGCTCGCAGAAAAGATTTTCCGTTCTATTTTTCATCTCATTCTATTCATATTGCTAATAAACTGAGAACTCTGAACAATTTGAATTGTTTTAATCGCCAATATCTGTCTCAATTAGAGAATGATTTCTCAAACTCAGTTGAACTCGATAAAACTCTGCTGATTCATCGTTTTTCGCCGAATTCTTCCAAGCATGCTTTAATGTTTCTGGACCACTTTAAATCAACTCAACCTGTCCCTACTAAACTTTTTTGGGGACGCAAACAGGTCGAGAGCGATGTTTTAATTAGTGAGACTTTCAATCAATATTTCGCTTCTGTTTATCAAGTATCTGAAAATAGTCCTTCTGCTGGTGGTAGTTTGGTTGATTCGGAAATCAAACTTTCCGAAGTTGATGTCTCCCCCAGTATTGTTGGCGAGCTCCTAGCTAAATGCAAAGAGACTCGTTCTACAGATAATATACCTGCATTCATTTATAAATCCTGTCACAGCATTCTTTCTCCGCTTGTTTCTTTCCTTTTCTTATCCATTATACAATCTTGTGTTTGGCCCGATTCCTGGAAAACTGCACTCATCACTCCTGTTTTCAAATCTGGTTCTCCTTATGATATTACTAATTGTCGGCCAGTTAGCATACTTCCTCCTCTTTCACTCATCTTCGAGCGTATTTTGTTCAATTATATTTACCCTCGAGTCCGATACAAAATTTCGAATGCTCAGCATGGATTCCGCAAGAAGCGTTCCACCATAACGCAAATGCTCTCATATCTAGATGAATATGATGCTCATGATGCCAAAATTCCTAGCGCTGCCATGTATTTCGATTTTAGCAAAGCTTTCGATTCTGTCAGGCACGACATTCTTGTACAGAAGTTTGCTGCTTTTGGTTTTGACGATATTTTTACCGCTCTTTTGATTTCTTATCTTTCAAACCGTTTTCAATGGGTTAAAATTCGAACAAGCATTTCCACCACTTTACCAGTTACTAGTGGTGTACCTCAAGGGAGCGTACTGGGTCCTCTGCTTTTCATATTGTTTATTAACGATCTTCCTGATATATTTAATCATTCAAACTGTTTTCTTTTCGCTGATGACTCAAAATTCATTTGTAAGACAAATTGCAGTGATTTACAGTCTGATGTGGACAGTTTCACTCATTGGTGTACTCAGAATGGTCTTAAAATCAATAAAGACAAGTGCAATTTCATTATATTCAATGGCAAATTTCCTGATTGTATTTTTGTTAACAACCAACCTGTTCATTCTATTAATTTACTCAAAGACCTTGGTCTGCTTGTTAGCTCTGATCTTACTTGGTCAGACCATATTAGTAAAAAATTTCTATCGAGCAATAAAAGCTTTCATTTTATCAAACGTTCTATTCCATATCACATTCCACTTTCTGTTAAACTCATGTTCATCAATACTTGTTTTAAAAGTATTTTATTGTATGCTAGTCCTGTGTGGTCTCCCTCTTTAACTATGTTAAGGAAGCTTGAGAATTTCAACAGGAAATGTCTTACCTGGGTTACAGGTCATTTACCTTATATAAAGCAACTTTCTTTAATGAATTTGCTTCCCATATCCTTCACGCTTATATTTAACACGACCTTATCCTTTTCCACAAAATGTTAAATGGCGACTCAGAACTCCCTTTTGCTGCGTATTATTATTTAAAGGTGACGACATCAAGATCCAGCACGTTGATGACAGTGAAACCCGCAAGAAGATGGTCAACCGAGACGTTCTTCACCCACCGAACAGCACGTGCCGTGAACTACATGCTGAAAACAACGGAGATCGACTTTTTCACCTCTTTGCGCCGTTTTCGCAGTACCCTCAAAGACTTCTTACTAGAGCGCTCTAAACTCTTCAATCGTGAAAACTCATGCACTTGGTTTTTGAAGCGCCGTTGCTCTTTCTGTAGATCCTAGTTTTGTTCATCTATTTATATAAATTATGCCTTATTTTTAATAAGGGAATTAATTCTTTTTTGTTGTTGTTGTTGTTGTTGTTGTTGTTGTTGTTGTTGTTGTTGTTGACCGTGTTCCAAGGGATCCTATGCTATGTGCTATAAGGCAAGAGAGTTAACGAAAACCTGGCACGAATTGTTACGTGTCTGTACACCGAGTCAAAAAAAATCGCCGACTCAAAGGGTGCAGTTATTACTTCAAAATTGAACTAGGCGTGCATCTAGGCACGGCATTTACCCTAATGATATTTTTATTAGTAATGAAAGAGGCTACTAAAACTTTTTGTTCCGTGGTTCCAAGGAGTATGCTATATGCAGATGACCTAGTGATAAACAAACAAACACACAAATAAAACTTTTGAATTAAAATGGATAATCATCCAAATCATAATTCAGCATATTACAGGCAATTTGGGAATATGTTCAGTTCTCCTTGTAGTCTAGTTTTAGCAGCACAAGGCATTCTCTCTCTATGGTTAGTTGTAGCATGCGGATCTTTGTGGAATGTATCTGTAAAGTTGGTGTCTTATGCCCATTTTAGTATTTTTGTTGAAAAGCGTAACGTCTGCTTTTATGATTTCACTTACAGGATCGTAGTTTCTGATAATACCTTTTCTAACAGCACTTTTCTGTAACCGATCGATGTTCTCTAAATCACTCTTCGCCACACCTCACCAGACAGGTGAGGCATATGAGATTACCGACTTGACCAGAGCTCAATATAGGTGTTCTAACTCATTCTGCGAATAGTTCACTCTTTTCAGTTTGAATAGTAGGAAGGTTCTTGATGAGATGTTACTACATATTGTTTAAATGTGTTCCTTAAAAGTTAACTTGTCGTCGAATATGACCTCAAGTATCTTTACAGTATTAACTCGCGTTATACCAGGGACTTCTTGCGGAGCAGGACCATT